GTTGTTCTGAAATTCCAGAACTAGGCTTCATTGATGGGAAAGGGCTTTTTGTCTGTCTGTGTTTTGAAGGAAAGAGGAGTTTGTGGATTTGTACAAGGCGTTTGAGCCCAGCCTGGTAAACAGCACGGTTTACATTATGTCAATGGCAATGCAGATGGCCACCTTCACCATTAATTACAAGGTAAGACTTTTAAACTGTGATGTTATTGCAAAGCATTTGCACTCTGAGGAACTGCGGTGCTTGCAGATCTGAAAGGGAGCGCTGAGACCATGGCTGTAGTGAGAGACAAACGTTTTCCGAACTCTCAACATGTCTTTCCACTGAAGGGTTTATACCAGTGACCCTGCAATTAATAATGCCAAACAAATTGCTGCATGTACAAATATAGCTGATCTTACTGCATCAAGGCAAGACCCAAGTGGCATGTAAGTGTCAACCCGTCTGGGGCATGAATTCCTGTCCTGTGTTTATTAAACAAGCTTGTGAATTTGGCTTTGGAAACTGCCTCCCACCAGACTGCGTGAGTATGAGGAGCAGCAGCTCTTCTGGTGTTTCAATGCTGCATTTGCCATTTCAGGGCCACCCTTTTATGGAGAGCCTGCGGGAGAACAAACCTCTACTGTGGAGCATTATCCTTTCAGGACTGGCCATTGTGGGCCTTTTGACAGGTTCCTCGCCAGAGTTCAGTGAAAAGTTTGGGCTGGTGGAAATCCCCATGGAGGTGAGCGAGGATTGGATGGAGCGTTTCCACGCTGGCAGACTCTTCTGGAGTAACTGCTATGGAAACCAGCACAATGGAACTGTTGCAGCCAGGACTTTCAAAGGGGCCTAAAGAAGTTAGGTTACCAGTGATTTCAATGGGAGTCAGGCACCTAACTTAGTTTAGGCACTTGCAAAATTCCAAACATCAATTTGGGTTCTGAATTCTCCTGCATACAAACTGAATGCAGCTCACATCTAAGGGCTTAGACTGTAGGACCTTTAAGGTTGCTTCTACTCCTGGGCAAATTCTGCACCACTGCATGTGCAGAATTTGTCCTCCTAGAATGCTTTGCTTCCCTGCAGAAAAAAAATCACTCTCTGATGGGGAAGCGACGAGAGGTTAGGCAACCCTCCCCAGCAATAAGTTTTGGAGGCCTAGGATAGCTGGCAGAGGGGTAAATCAGTGTAGGTCATGGGACAGGACCCAGCTAGTAGCTGCTACCTGTTCCTGGCTCAGCTGCTAGCTCTAACTGGAGTGGGGAAGACAGGACTTTCTCATCCCTACATGGGATCTGAGCTGGGTCAAACCCAAACTCCCCTTCTTTCTCTCCCCTTCACCCATCACTCCTCAGCTGCAGGGGTTCCATTCCTTTATCAAGACCTGCTTCCCCATCTGTGTGATCCTAATGCACCCTCAAACCCAGACCCTCCTGCTGAGCCTCAACATTCCACACTCACAACTAGCTGCACTTGGATCCCTACCCCACTGAGCCTCACTCCCCCCATAGCTTGATCCCCCACACTGACCCTCCTGCCAAGTCCCATCCACCTTTACCTGAACCCCCCTTCCCCAGAGTTCTATTATTGTTGCACCCAGAACCCACCCACCAGGCCCTGTGCACCCAGATCTCCTGGTGAGCTGTCTGTATCCAGACTGCCCCCACACAGAGCCCTCTCAACCATGCTGAATCTCCCCACACTTGGAGCACCTGGCACAGAGGGGCAGGGCCCTCAGGTATTTCTGCACAAGGTCTGGTCCTTGTGCTGTCAGGGTTGGGTGCAGCCTCACTGAGTCATGTCCTGAGGGGAGAAGGGGAGCTGCACAGCCCAGTGCCATGCTGAAGCCAGCCAGGGGCACCCCAAGCCTCCACAGGCCCCTGGGCAAAGTGTGTGTGTGGCTCTCCATGCCCCTGAAAGAGGCAGGGGCAGCCAGCCCTGAGCGTTGCATGGCACCCCCAAAGTGTGTAGTGTGGCACTCCCTTGGCAATTTAATGGCCCTAGAGCTCCAGCTGCCCCTTTGAATTGCCCTCTTTGAACAGGCCTGACAAATAAAATGTATGGAACGTTGCACAATTGATTTTGGGGCATAGAATGTCCTGAGGGTACCCTCGGACCCTGTGGTTCTAAGGGCTATTTGTTTCAACTTCCATAATGTGGTTTGTGTTCCCAGTGTTGGAGAGAAACCAATTGTTTATCTAGTCACTGCAGCTCTTTGTTCTAAATGCCCTTCAACTGAGACCCCCTAGGTCACGTTCCCCAACTTGCTGCTGTGGCATTTCTCACGCGAGGTTCAGAAGCTCTGCATGGATAGACATGTTTGAATTCCTGACTAGCCCAGCGCTTGCTGAATTTGTCATGCTAGTCCCATGGCACCCTGGCAGTAAGCTGTCTTCCCCTACCTCCAGAAAGACTCAATGTCTGAGTCTGGTCACACCACACGAGTTCACGTGCATCGCTGCTTCCTTTGTGGCAGTGCAGAGTTGAGAGGAGAGGACTGGACTGTCCGGTTTTGTACTTAGCGCTTACATTCACTGCTGCTCAGTCTTTGTTCATTTATTTTGCTGAAGTCCTGCTTGCCCCTTTATAAGCTCCCACTACAAATGTTAGTTCTTCTGAAACCTTCAGTAGACAAAGCCTGTTGTATAGCCAAGAATAACTTATTTGAGCTGCTTCCCTTTCAGTTTAAGATTGTGATTGCTCAAGTCTTGCTGGCTGACTTCTTTCTTGCATTGCTGGTGGACCGGATCCTTCAGTTTCTGCTGGGAAGTGCAAAACTGAAAGTGCCTTCCTGAAACAGATTCCAAGCCTCCAACATCCCATCAGTGCTGAATGAGTGGACAAGTGTGAAGGACAACACCCAGGAACACACTTCCTCATTGCAAGAAGGATCTTTATTCGTTTGACAGTGACTTAACCATGCTCTGGAGTAGGCCTGAAGTGCTTGTTTGGAAACCACGTGGTGTAACAATCAAGGCTGCAGGGGGCACTACACTTTTAAATAACATTTCCAGGGGATAACCTGTTGGGAATTTTGTATTGCCCTGTGCTTGAAGTGTTTACAGAATTTGGTAATTAAATCAGAATCAGTGTATTTTAAAACATTTGGAATCTTTATGGGGGGGGCTAGTAAAAAGCTCAATCTTTGAGTAACTGGCTGGAGCATTGTGTCCAGAAAGGAGGTGGACACATTGGAGAGGGTCCAGTGGAGGGCAACCAAAATGATTTGGAGGCTGGAGCACATGATCTATGAGGCGAGGCTGAGGGATTTGGGCTTCTTTAGTCTGCAGAAGAGAAGAGTGAGGTTGGATTTGAGAGCAGCCGTCAACTCGCTGAAGGGGGGATTCAAAGAGGCTGAAGAGAGGCTGTTCTCAGTAGTGATGGATGGCAGAACAAGGCGCAATGGTCTCAAGTTACAGTGGGAGAGGTCGAGGTTGGATATTAGGAAAAACTATTTCACTAGGAGGGTGGTGAAGCACTGGGCTGGGTTCTCTAGGGAGGGGGTGGAATCTCCATCCCAAGAGGTTTTTAAGTCTTGGCTTAACATCCCTGGCTGGGTTGATTTAGTTGGGTTTGATCCTAATTTGGGCAGGGGGCTGGACTAGATGACCTCCTGAGGTCTCTTCCAACCCTATGATTCCCTCTACATTGGTGCTGAGGTTCAGACGTGTCCCTCAACTATGAAAGAAGCAAGGCAGGAGTAGTAATTATAACTATGCAAGAAGGGCTTAAACACAGGCTGGTTCATTAGTATGACAATAGCAGCAGCAGCCTCTTTAATCCCTGGGTTTGGTTAGTATTTCTGTAGTATAAAATGTATCAACTAAGTTACCCCATTTTTTAAAAACAGAGTAACATCTAGAACAGGGGTCTCTAACCTTTTTAAGTGTGAGGTCACTTTTTGTATTAAGTGCAATCTATGATCTACCTCAAATGTAAATACTCTTGCCCCACCTTCTTCCTGCCCCTGCTCAGTCTATTCTCCCTCTCTTGCCCATCCTCACGCACTTTCATCAGGCTGGGGCAGAGGGATGGGGTGCAGGCTGTGGTCTTGGATTAAGGGATCTGGAGTGTGAGGGGCGCTGAGCTGCTCAGGGGGAGCAGTTGGGATGTAGGAAGGGGTTCTAGGTGCAGGCTCTGGAAAGCGTTTAGCTGCAGGAGTGCTCAGGGCTAGGGCAGGAGCTTGGGCTATGTCTACACTGGCATGATCTTGTGCAAAAAGTTTTTAGTGTAAGAGCTCGTGTTACAGTAGTTGTGCAAGAGTGTCTACATTGGCATGTACTTTTGTGTAAGATGTGCTTCGGGCAGGAGCTTGGGCTATGTCTACACTGGCATGATCTTGTGCAAAAAGTTTTTAGTGTAAGAGCTCGTGTTACAGTAGTTGTGCAAGAGTGTCTACATTGGCATGTACTTTTGTGTAAGATGTGCTTCTGCACAAGAGCATCCTTGCCAGTGTAGATGCTCTCTTGTGCAAGAAAGCTCTGATGGCCATTTTAACCATAGGGCTTTCTTGTGCAAGAAATTCATGTTGCCTATCTACACTGGCCTCTTGCACAAGAACAGGGTAGGACTGCAGGATGTGGGCTCCAGCTGGGTACTGCTGGTGGCTCCTGATGGGTGGTGCAGTGGGGCTAAGGCAGCCCCCCCCCCTGCCCTGGCCCACTTTTTAAAGCAGCCAGCAAACTTGCTCTATCCCTAGTCCTGTTGTGCCCCCTCTACTCTGGAGAAAGGATACAGAGTGGGTGGGGGGCACCTTGACATCAACACCCTCCTCTCCCTCACCTGCCCTGCACAGCAAGCAGGAGGCTCCCCAAGGGGAGGGGCAGCTCCAAGGCAAAGGGCAGCAGATGAGCATCAGTGGGGGGAGGGGCAGTTGAAATGACAGCACTTGATAGCCTCTTCGTCAAACTAATCAAGATCACCTGTCAGGCTCCAAGCTCTAGAATGACCACTGATCTAGAATAAAAAGGAGTTACCAACAGTGGAGAGAGTTGGTGCTAATAGACCTAAGAAAAAGTATTGGGTCTTCATTAACCTTTAAACAGAGCCAGAACATCTTTCTTGCAGTCAGACAAGTAAAACACATATGCGCTGGAAAAAATGTGTGGCTACTTCATTAAGAAGCGAGAGAAATCATTGTCTTGCCCTCCCCCACCTGAGCTTCCATGGAGAGGTACTAGACTCTGCAGTAAAAAAGCACAACGGTGAGTTTTAAACTCCGGGTCAGTTGATGCTTGCTGCAGGTTTAAATATTGCTGTGACGATGTTTTGGGTTTGGCCTGGTGGCCTGGTTCTGCAATCTCATGACTGGGGGTGGTCTCAAAGCCCAAGGTCTAGCCCAGGCATGTCCACTGCCATTTTAGCCCACCACCAGCCCAAGACCAGTGCTATGCCCATGCCTGGGTCTTTTATTGTGGCATAGGCATAACCCTCCTTTTCTTGTGAATTTAATCTTATAAAAGCTAGCAAGCACCAAGTGACATACAGATTTAAATACTACACAATAAGGCAGAAAAATAGTTCACTTAGTTCTTCATAGGTGTGTCCTTTGGAGGATTGAGTCCATCACAGCTGTTATGAAGTTTATGCAGCTGAGGCAACAGCCAGCCTGAATGGAATGACTCAGTAGGAAGAATGCAACTTTATCTGCTAGAAGGGATATTGACTCCATGCTGCTGCTTGCTGCTAACAGATGGTGGGTGGGAGTCTGGCAGCTGCGGTCCTTTCAACTACAAAGGCATAGTCATACTGAAACAAAAAACAAGGTTTGCAGGTAGGAAATGCTACCTCACCCTCACAGTTCTTAGTACAGAGCTCATGTTCAGCCACGCCAAAACCTCAAATTACTTACCTCCTTCTCAATGTCAGCAAGAGACTTAATGTTCAAGTCCATGAAGATGGAAAAGGCCTACAACATAAAGGTAACTACAATAGATAATATATTCCTGTTTTCCTAGCAGCCCCCTGGCTGCGTCTAGATTTTCCAGAAAAGTTTTCCATTAAAAGCATTTTTGGAACAGAGCATCCAGATTGGCACAGACGCTTTTCCGCAAAAGCACTTTTTGCGGAAAAGTGTCCGTGCCAATCTAGACGCACTTTTCCGCAAAAAAGCCCCGATCGCCATTTTCGCGACTGGGGCTTTTTTGCAGAAAACAAATCTGCGCTGTCTACACTGGCCCCTTTGCGCAAAAGGGACTTTTGCCTGAATGGGAGCAGAATAGTATTTCCGCAAGAAGCACTGATTTCTTACAGTAGGAAGTCGGGGCTTTTGCAGAAATTCAAGCAGCCAGCGTAGACAGCTGGCAAGTTTTTCCGGAAAAGCTGCTGATTTTCCAGAAAAAAATGGCTAGTCTAGACACAGCCCCTTTGTTCTTTATTCTGCAGAATTGTTTGCAACGCACAGGAACCCAAAAACCTTTGCCCCATGAACATATACAAAATCGTCAACCCATGGGGGCTGCATGACTCTCACAGCTCTGAAATAGCAATTTCATTACAAGGAATTGATATAATGTCCTCGTAACCTAGACTGATACTCACATTAGTTCTAGTAGTGATGCTGCTTTCAAATTTGGGGTGTAGTGTGAAAGGTACCCCATCCATGGCTGAGAAGAGAGAGATGGTTATCAGAGAGCTACAGATGAATGACAATACTGTAAAAGCCTTGTGCTGCAGTGCACTGGCAGGCCTGCATGGGAAATCTAGGACAGTTTCTCAACTCGTGAATATTAAATTTCACCCTAATGTAAAAGTATGTGCTAACTTGTGAATTGCCAGAAGACTTGAACAGTGAGATGGACTGCCTTATCCTGTTCTTATGACAGCTCATGATGCCACACCATTTACAAGAAAGCAGTGTCCTCTGGGAAGGAGTATGTGATGGAATACCCAATCCTCTCCAAGTGGAGGAGGTTAGAAATTCCAGCCTGCTTTCTGATTGGCTATGTCTACACTGGCATGCTTTTCCGGAAATGCTTTTAACAGAAAAGTGTTGTATTAAAAGCATTTTCGGAAAAGAGCGTCTAGATTGGCAGGACGCTTTTCCACAAAAGCACTTTTTGCGGAAAAGCGTCCGTGGCCAATCTAGAAGCGCTTTTCCGCAAAAAAGCCCCGGTCGCCATTTTCACGATCGGGGCTTTTTTGCGCAAAACAGTACTGTGCTGTTTACACTGGCCCTCTTGCGCAAGAGGGCTTTTGCCCGAACGGGAGCAGCACGGTATTTCCGCAAGAACACTGACAATCTTACATGAGATCGTCAGTGTTCTTGTGGAAATTCAAGCAGCCAGTATAGACAGCTGGCAAGTTTTTCTGCAAAAGCAGATGATTTTGCAGAAAAACTTGCCAGTCTAGACACAACCCTTATGTAGTACCTTTGACAGGCTTTCTGTAACTAAGCAGAAGAATAACACCATGACATTAAACACCTAATGTAATGTGAATTGTTTGTCCTAAGCCAACTGTCAGACTTTGTCCTCAGGAGAAAGAATTCACTTACCTGAGATGCCATAAAGATTAGCTGTATCATAAATGGAATCCACTCGCTTAATGGATGCATATTTTGAGCCAACTCTAGTCCAAGACTTTTCTGATGGAAATTCTGTCCTGCAAGGGATTCGATAATTTGCAAATCAAGGCCTCAATGTTTTACATTTGCAAAATGGCATCAAATGAAAAACTTCACCCTGCAGCAGCAGCTCCTGCTCTGTCAGGCTGCACTCCCTGCTCCAGCCATTGCCAGCTAGGACACTTGCATGCAGGAGAACTGGCCTACCATCTCTGTGATCTCTGTGCCCAAGGGACCAGCTCACAGCACCAGGAGTCAGACAGCTGAGCCCAAACAGGAAGAGATTGGTGTAGCTGCGCCACTTTCTGCAGCTTCCATTGGCAAACCACAGCCAATGGGAACTGGCAGGCTCTTTGCCTGGGGATGCTCAGATAGATAAACTGTCTCGTGGCCTGCCAGTGGCTTACCGGGATGGGTCTATGAACTTATTTTGAGAACACTGCACTAAAGAATATGCCCTTAAGGCTAAGCAAACCTTGGGCACACAGGAGCTGCCTTCCATACAATCCCTGTTCCACCATGAATGAGAGCCATTTTTCACACATAAAAACCAAAGTGCTTTGCACAATCCTTGGTGATCGCACAAGGCGAGAGCCATATGACAAAACATCAGAAGCCACTGGGTGGCACCATAAATTGGAACGTACTCCTATTTCAAGCTGGGCCCCAATAAAATCTCAGATGGTGGCTGATGACTTACTCTTTTCTATTCAGGTCTGCTGTCTCCAGTGAAAGCCCCTTCATTTCTAGACTGATGCCCCTTGGTTTTGGAAGGGGTTTAGGTTTGAGAAGCTGCCCCTTTTTACACCAAACAGCAAAGCTGCTAATTTCTCTGGGACAGAAGGAGACAAACAGATTACACTGAGCACTAACACTACACAGTTGAACATGCAGCTGGAATGAAAGAATGGCAGTGTCTTACCCTATCTTCATATAGGAAGGAACCACTTTACTCTTATTAGTCAGCATAATGTCAAATACAACTAGTTCTGCTGCACTTAATGGGACAAGTTTCATACAGATTCGTTTCTTCTTGGAAATTGATGTTTCTAATGGAAGCAGAGAACATGGTATCACAAGAAATCCCTGCATTTGTTAGCAATAAAACTCAAGGTATGTAAAAAAAAAAAAATCAATCCCTGCTGCTGGCCTTACCTGAGCAGTGTGAATGCTGGCTTAAGAAAAAAAACAAGGTTAACACTAGTGTTCCACAAAAATTACAGATGGTAAGACAGACTGGCCTGAACAAAAAAAAACCTTGTACAGTGCAGGTCTGTATCTATTGTCTGTACAGCAACAAGCTTTGTAAGGGTGACATGGCTCCCACTGCCTGGCTGTATTGCACAGAACACACCTGCCACTGGTTAGAGTTGAAGGCTCCATAAACATGCACCAGAGCCAGAAATTCTTGAGTGCCATTTCCAGCCCCTGGATGCAGCTACATAACATTTGGCTTGATGCATTCTCATTTGTAAGGAGGCAGAAACATGCTATAGCTGGGCTTAAATGGGTGGGGCATCAGGACTCACTTGGCTCTAAGAACTCCATAATGTAAACGTATCCTGGGGGGGGGAGCGTTTTCTCACTCAGGATCTGCACATCGGCTACCACATTGCCTGGGGAGGTCTGAAAGACAAACAAGCAGTCCAGGCTGAAGGGGGAGGTATACACCCACAAATGCGGGAGCAGGCTGCATTAGGCCCATAGCCACAGGGTGGGTGTGTGGCTAGATTAGGCCTAGAGCCATGCTCTTAAGTGTGGGAGGTGTCCTAGTCCATACGCACTGGGGCAAGGTCTATTGTGGTAGGGCCATGCCTGTAAACCCTGTTGGGTACTCTCAGGCGGGGAGGGGCAGCACTGCAAGGTGCAGCTAGTGAGGGGAGGAAGGATGTTACTTGACTTTGATCCATCCAACGGTTGGAACCAGCCCCTCCCCCTTCCGGTGTCCTACCTCCCTCGTCACAGCTGAGGTGATGCACAGGACGTAGCCGGACTTCTGCCCAAAGCCCTTCCCGAAGTTGGCGGCGGTGCCCTCTGGGGTGGCAGGGATCTGTGGGCGAGACGGGCTGTGAGCGGGACGGGGGGCACCGCGGGGCCTCATGCCCCTTCCAAAGGGCAGTGGGCAGGCCCTTGCAGGGGACAGGGGCTGTTTCTGGCTCAGGGTTCAAGGGGGCACCGCGGGGCCTCATGCCCCTTCCAAAGGGCAGTGGGCAGGCCCTTGCAGGGGACAGGGGCTGTTTCTGGCTCAGGG